AACCTAACTTATGTGTTTCATTTGTATTATAAGGAGTGGCTGAAAAATGATATTTTTATCTAGGTTAATTAACTTCTTAAATTTCAAATAAGACCTCAATATTATGATCCCTTACAATATTGGCCTAACACTTAATTAAACCTTTTTAATTAAGCCATTGTAAATTAAAATTAAATTAAATTTACTTTATTTGTTTGTAATTAAGGCTTTAATATTATAACTAATTATAAAATTAGCCTCATACATAATTAAACTATTTTAATTAAGTCTTCAGAAGTTAAAAACCTAGTGTATGATTTAAGTCCAACTTAAATCATCACACTCTCAATTTAATTCATAATACAGGTTATTGTGTGTGACTCATTAGGTTCCTAACATGTTGACAATGGAATTGAATTATACTTTTTATTAAATTAATTAATTTAATTTCGTAAACCAAGATTGGCATCTAGCAATGTATCATGGCCACCCAATTGTTAGGAAAGTCAAAAGATTCCTTGATAACCTTTCAATGTACAATTATCAGTGTAATTCATTCCCTCATCATATATTTCGAAAATGTTAAGAGCATGGTGTAGTGTCTACTCTTATTAATCTCTATATTTGTTTTTGAAGTTAGATCATTAGTTTATAGAGACTTATGAAACTCTTTTTCATAATTTCTAAGCTGCCATAGACAAGGACTTTAATAAGCTAATATCAACTAAGAACTATTAGGATATGTCTCCTAAATCACTTGGGGTGATGATTCTTTTCTTGACCACTCATTTGTCTTCACATGCTTCATGCTGTACCCAAAAGTATCCTATTTTGGCATCCTTGGTCTACTTGCAGGGATGAAATCAAAGCATAGCATTCTACACAGAAACAACATGGTGTCTCAAGTATAAGGAGTATTTACACAATTGGCACATGAGAAGTATTGTATAGATATTTAAGTGAAATACCAAATGCATTTCTCATGACGGGTGATGTTTAGTAAACTTGTTTTCCTAGGCTAGCACTTACATTCTAGTTTTAAATATCTTTATACTTTAATCTATGAGATTGGTTGCTTACTTCCCAAGTAAGAAACATAGAATGTGCTAGTCTCTAGGTATAATTGATGTCCAGTTGTAATGATACATTGACCAGGAACATTTAGATATTATACTTTGATGCATAAAGATCTCATAACCATAATCAATTACAATTCCCTTACAAGGCATATTAATCTCATGGTCCTCATCCAATTAGATTTATAACCCATTATAATTAACATCTTATTGATGAAGGAAAACTTCTAATCATTAAACATGAATGATATTATTGCACGATTGGAATCAAGCCTTAACTAATCCTAATTGGCTGAAGGGCTCATCACAACAATTGTAGCGCCCTACAACAAGAAATTTGTTTTTTGCATGATGCACATGTGTGTATTAAATCGACCAACACAAAAAAAGTGTCCTGGCACCTTAGGAAAGTGAATACGTGGAATTGTAGCACTGTGGTGCCATACGGGAAGCGTTATGACACTCGAAGCTGACAAGACGTGGGCATTAAGGCCCACAAAGTTATGGATCCTATGGAGTGTGCTGTGATGCCCTATGGTAAAAAAAAAGTGAAAGGAAAAAACCTAAAAGCCTCATATAAATACCTTTTTTCCATTCCCTTCTTGTTCATTAGCCACCCTTTCCTTCTTTCTAAAATTTTTTTTCTCCACTTTCTCTCTACAATATCTTCATCAAATCCTTACCAAACTCTTCTTGCTTTCAAGCTTTCAACATTTGTTCTTCAATACTCGAGTAAGTATACTATCCCTACACTAGTGATTTTTGCAATATTGGGCTTTGTGATATTATGGATTATGGGAATTTTTTTACTGTTTGAGTTGATAGTTCGTAGCAATCAATTGTTGAAATATTTATTTGGAGTTTAATTTTTAGTTATTGTTTAGGAGTTTGCTTTATTGACTATGGCATCGAAGAGGGCTAGAGCTAGTGCCAGTAGTTCTTATGATACGACTAGATTTATTTCTCTTAATGCTTAAAAGAGATATAATGAGAAAATAGTTTATAAAACTCTAGTGCTTGAAAGAGGATTTGATGTTGGTGAAAGTCAGCTTCTAGATTTTCATGCAATTATTCTTGCTAGGCAGTGGACCACATTATGTAAAGAACCTCTTGTAGTTGTGATGCCTTTAGTTAGAGAATTTTATGATAATGCAAAAGAGCATCATAATGGGTCTATTTTAGTTAGTGGTAAATTTGTGCCTTTTACTATTGATGCTATTAATAATTATTTTGAAATCTCCGATGATTTGGTTATTGAATATTTTACTTTGGAGCTGAATTATGAGGAGATAATTAATTACTTGTGTACTGGTAATGGGGAGTGAAAATTATTAAAAGGATTGCTTGTGTCCTTTAAGAGTAACAATCTTCATGGTGACTATAAATGTTGGTTCAATTTCATAGCTTCTAGATTGCTTCCTATTAAGCATGTGAATGATATCACTAAAGATCTAGCTATCTTGCTTTGTTGTATTCTAATTGGTAAAGCAATTAATATTGGATGTCTGATCTACCTCACTATCCCTTGATTTGCTAATATTCCTTGTGAGGGTATCTGGTTTCCCTCATTAATTACTGAGTTGTGTAAGAAAGCTGGTGTGGCATATGTGCTGGGGAAGTGTTGTTTTTCCTTGAAGGTTCAATTGATAATGGCATAATGGAAAAATTTAGCAACAAGAGTCCTCAACTGCGGGAGATAGTTCATTGACTGCAAGACCCCAAGTAGCATGTCCTCTAGTTTTGTCAATGGCACAAAGGATGGAGAGACTTGAGACTCGAATGGACCACCATTAACAGTCCTTTAATGTGATTAAGGAAATGATAGGAGCTTGTGCAAAGCATGTGGGCATGGATATGAAGACTTTCCCTGTGTTGCCTAACGATCCTACCATTGTTGTTGGAGCTGATGATGATGATGAGGAGGAGGATGTCTAGACAATCTTCCTTTTATGGCTGCTTTGAAAAGGGAGTTTTCGTTTTCCTTTTTTTTTAATTTTATTTTTGTAACACAATCCATTTAATAAACATGTTGGTTTTGTCATGTTGCACGTTTAACAAATGTATCCATGTTCGTGTTTAGGATCTTGACACATTTAATTAATTGTGTCATGCTCATATTTACCTATATAACTTTTAATACCCTGTGTTTACATTACATGGTATGTTAAGACACAAGAATCTTGTTTGTCTTGTTCATGATTTTGTTGGATTCTATTTCATTTTAATTCCATCTTGTTCATGGTCTGTTTTGCTTCATGGTGGACTGTTTTTCTTTTTTTCTTTTTAACTTTATTTTTAAGAGTTCAACGAAGAATAAAAAGGTAAGAACATATAAAAAAAATTAAACTCCTCATCTCCTATATTAATGGCTGCACAAAGTAGTCATTTCTATTAATAGCTTGATGACATATCGATGTGGCCAAACTAAAATTAAAAGCAAGGTTCAGTTTTCAATCCTTGAACTCTGCTTTGATCCAATCTTGTGTTGTATGAGCAATTGCTTCCAGATTAATAATTTTATTTTAAATCAATTTTTGTTTATCATAATCTCTATTATAATTATTGAGTAAAATATAATTAGTTGTTGTTTATTGTTGGTTGATGATTGAATGTTTTTAATTATATATGTAAGATGCTTTTATCATGTAGCATGATAACTTTTGTCTATGTATATGTTTTGAGTTATTTTATTATTTAACATATAATATTTTTAATATTAAAAATTAGGTTTTGAAAGTCTTTCATAATTAACGAATATTGATATTTTTATGGTGCCATGATAGAAAATTTTGAAGAAGTAAATTTTTTATGCTGAGAAATGGTGGAAAATATTTTTAACAAGATAATCCAAAAAATAAAAAACATTTTTGGTTATTTATTGAAACAATAAAAAATATTAGATTTTCTAGTAAAATATTTTTTGCAAAAGATTTTTCTTCAACAAGCTATTCGCTGGGTGCTAAATGGAGTCCTAAACTAACATATTTGTCTATCTTTTGAATTATGATCATTTTTCACCATCACAAAACGTGGCATAGAATATTGTTCGTTGATCATGGATAATATGCCATTATTTTATAAGATTGATCGATTGATCAATGTACCTTTTTGTCTTAGAGTTAGGTGGACAAATGAGATCTTCTGTCAAATTTGACTATTAATTAAATTCCATCAAAAGCAAAGCTGACATGCTTCTCTAGCCTATGAACATGATAATATTTCAGCACCCTAAAACGTGGGCATAATAATGTTCATCGTGGATAATTCACACTTGTCTTTTAAGATTGATGATTAGTTAATATACCTTTTCGTCATGAATTAGGGTGTCAAATTTGATCATTAGATTACATCCCAATGACAACTACCATGTTTATGCCTCTTTCTCATGTGATAATTTTCCACTATCATGATCATCTAGGATAATGTGATTCTCTTAAATAGAAGATTGATTGATTAATTGATTGACATATTGTTTTATATTTTTTGTGTTCATGAATAATGAAGCTGAATAAATGAAAATTTCTATCAAATTTGATTATTAAAATACATTTAAACAAAAACTAACACACCATAAATGAAATAGAAGTTTTAAGGTTAATGATTAGCACAAATTCAAATCATTTAAGAATACAATTGTCTTCAATATTAGTCCAAAGAAAGTACAGCAAAAACCATTGAATAATGATTAGTTATCTTACCATACTAAGCAACAAATTAATTTCTCTTACCAACCATCAGTTATATTAGAATTTTTTCTTAATCTCCAACTCAGTTATATTAGATAACCTCGTTTACCAACTCAGCCCTTCAATGATTTGTCCCATCGCTCTCACTATATAAAGACCTCATTGGTTACCATTCAGGCAGCCCAATTCTCTTCTTCACCCCCTGTTAAAAATATATAATTCAATAATAAGAAAGACTGCCGTTTGCCAAGCAATAACCATGGCAAGAAAGAAGGTGAAGCTTGCATGGATAGTGAATGACAGTGCCAGGAGAACCAGCCTCAAGAAAAGGAGGTTAGGCTTGTTGAAGAAAGTGAGTGAGCTGACCACTCTATGCGGTATCAATGCTTGTGTCATCATCTATAGCCCGGACGAAACAGAGCCAGTGGTGTGGCCGTCACACGACGTGGTGGAACAACAGCTTGCACGGTTCCAAAGCATGCCCGAGTTGGAGCGGCAGAAGAAAATGATGAACCAAGAAACCTACCTCAGAGAAAAGGTTACGAAGGCGCAAGAACAACTGACGAAGTGCCAAAGGAGGAACAAGGAAATTCAGATGACCCATTTCATGCATCAAATCACTGAAGGCAAGGGACTTAATGAACTTAACCTCAGTGAACTGCAGGGGCTGACTTGGTTTGTGGAAGAGAAAATCAAGGAGATCAGAAAACGGTTTGAGTTTTCCCAACAAGTTTCTTTTGCACCTGCAGGCGCCCCTCCTCATCCACATCTTCCTCTTCCTCCCCAGGGCCCTGCAGTGAATGAAACGGCCCGAATTGGCTGCGGTAGCGCCTGCCATGGTGGAGATGGGAGGACTTCCATCGAGCCCTTGTTGTGGGACCAATGGTTCATCGATATGATGAACCGGAATGAACTCAAATCTGCAGGCAGCAGTTGCATAAGGAGTGATACGGGCTTACCATATCACCCATTTGCTGGGATTGCTGCAGATGATCCGGGACTACCAAGACACTCATTTGCTGCCGGCTCCAGTGGTTCAGCTGACATGGGGCTGCCGCATATGAGTTTTAGACATCAGGGTGCAGGAGCAGGTGACATGTGGTTGTCTCGTGGGAGGAGCGTCGGTCGCAGCAGTTTTGTCCCTTTCGGGATTGACATAGGGCTGGGACTGCGCCCTTCCGGTGGAGAGGTAGAAAGTAGCCCTGCCAGGAGTAATTTAGGGCTGCCGCCTCTCCTGCGTTTTGAAGGCAGCAGCAGCGGCGTTGGCAGCGATATCGGACTGCCATTTGATGGGAAAACCTGGCCAAACAACTTCTCTCCCTGAATTTAATTGGCATAGTTGTTCAGTTGTGTGTGTATGGGAGGTCATATTCGAGAATGTATATGAGTCGGACCTAAATTAGTTTCCCTATTTTCTTTTGTTATTCATTTATTGGCCAGGTTGTTGTTTTGTTATTTAGTTTAATCTAATAATGATTTAACAAACATATTATTGGCCTGTCCTTGTTATATGGGTTTATATTTAATGCACTGACATTTATAATCTCTATTCTCCATTAGGCCAACTAAATTGTCACCTCATTAAAAAAGAAAAATTAAAAACTTTTAGAAATTTAAAAATAAATATTGATACTTTTAAAAATTTTAATTACATAAAAAAAAATTTCTCACTTATCTCTCCTTCTCTTTTTCCTTGACTTTTCTTTTTTCATACTTGATCTTATAATGGTTTATGGTTGTGTTGTTGGTGGAAATTGTCAAGTGAATGCAGATCTTATATTTTTAGAAACTTGAAGGATCATTTCATTTTCTTCTTAACAACATATTTGTAGTAGTCTTCGAGGATGATGATTCCATCGTTGGTTTGCCTTTTTACCGTTGAATTTGAAACAAATGGAGATCTGTTTAACTAAATTCTTTTGGAGACTAAACCATAGTCTAAATAAAAGCAGTTGGGTTTTTGTTTTCCTTCATCACAATTGTTTTAATTCGATGGGCTCCTAAAACTCTATCTTTCTAACATTGTACAAGATATGCAAATTCCACTGCAACAAACCATGCTATGCTTCTTGACAACCCAGTTTTCTCAATCTTACATGTATGCAAATCCTTGCCCCAAAACCGAATTCAAACCAAACGAGGCTTAATGTCGATTGGTTCTTTTCCAGCCACCTTATCACCTTCTGTGCCTTGTCGAGCACAAAAACCTTGCCCATTGCGTGCTAGTGGGAATTCGAGTTGGCATATAAGGTGTTTCCAGCAACAGCACAACAATAAATCATTATGAGGAAGAGAGAGTTGAGAGAGAAATAAGCTTGATTTTATTTTTTATGTAATTAAATTTTTTTAAAATATTAATATTTATTTAAAATTAAAACTCTTTTTTGAATCAATCTTTACCATCCATTCAGAGTTATGATACATCATACAAGCTCCATAATTATCAAAATTATAAATAAAGAATAAACAATTTAAATTTTTAATTGTAATTTAGAGTCCATGATAACATATGACTTCTTGTTGAATAATCACTCTATTTTCTTATTATCCATCTTTATTTAAAAAGAATTAATAATAAAATAAAAGAGTTATAGTCAAATATGGAGTCTCCATTCTATATTCACTCATGCAAGAGTTCTCTAACATTATCTTAAGACAACTCTTATCTTAATTAAGACAACACATATATGTTTGTCTAAATTAAGACAACTCTTATATTTAATTAAGATAACATATGTATCTTGTCTAAATTAAGACAAATCTTGTAATAATTAAGACAACATATAAATTCTTGTCTAAATTAAGATAAGTTTCGTCTTACAACATACCTTTTTGTACATTAATTTAAGCAATTAAAAATTCATGCATTGCAGTCGAGCATTTGGCTCATTAGTAGGTGCATTATCCCTCTACCTAAAGAATAGGGTTTGAATCCCCTACCCCCAATTAAAAAAAATGCATGCATTCCATCTTAAAATAAGTTGAATTCTATGAAGGTAAGTGAGGAATTTATATAGATATAGATATTCCAAGCTCCAATAAACTTAGAATTATTCTTAATCTAATTTAAAATAATTTAAGTTTATTAACTATGAAAGTACTCCACTATAGATTTATAGTTACACTCTTGGATTACCTACATTTACAAGAAATAATCCACTATTTAATATTTAATATTAATTGTCCAATTACAGACCTCATATGTTAAACCCTCATAACTATCTAATAACAAAAGGTGAAATTATTGTTTTACTTTTTATGTCAAATTTTATCTCCTAGTCTCAGATTTCATCCAATTGGTGATCCAATACTCTAGATTTGGTCTTTTAAGTTTCTAGATATGATGAGTAGCTAATTCATCAATCATTGAGCTCAAATTAATTACCAATCTTTGTGAAATCTATAAGAGTGATGTTAGTGCTATGAACTCCATATTTTGGATATATGTTCCCTAATGCTTACCTCAATTATAATAACAATATACAAAGTCTAGATCAACATAATATGATGAGTAGGCTCATTGAATATCAAACATTATAAGAAGGTAAACACGAAATCTATTAGGATTTTGATTCTACCGTAAGTGAAAGCATAAGTGTGAGATCAAGTTTTATGTAATGGTAAAACTTAAACCTAATTCTCACTCAATGTTAGTTCACATTATAGTGTCATTACTTGAAGTCAACTACTTTGGTAATGTGAGACTCATAATTCTCTTGAAGTGAATTATATTCCTTACATTGGAAGTAATCTAGACACTACAGCCTTAACATAATAACATGACCAGCTTTATTATTTGGCTGTGAACAATTTTTAGATTCAATTAAAATACATATCTCCTATGTATGACTCTTCATACAAATCTATTTTAATATTTCAATAGAATTATGATACCTTTATAACTAGAAAATAAATGCTTACTTAAAACAAACCCTTCATCTTATTATCAAAATGTTCTTTCATTATAAATAAAATAAATAGAAATTAACATGAGAATATACTTGCTTTCCAAGACTTCATATTTTGAAATTCCTAACTAGTGTTGTATAGTTTATTAAAGGAGTGGAGACATTAAGTAACAACTATAAAGGAGGCAAGGAACTTGAACACCTTTAAGTTAGATGAACTTATATGTTCACTTCTTACATATAATATTTCTCTTAAACATGACAGTGAGAGAGAAAAAGCACTGGAAGAGAAAGAGAAAGACAAAAGAATGGGTGTTGCTCGTAAAGCTACTTTAGAATATGAGGAAACAAGTATAGAGAGTGATGAAGAAGAAAATTATAAAGAATTAGCTGATAGCTCTGTTATATAGAGTTATTTTGATACATTTTGGGAGCTTACATAGCTAGATCTTTGAGATTTTAGGTTCAAATTTTAGCATTTTAGGTATTTTTCTATTTTAAGTTTGATTACTTGTTAGGTGATTGATTTAAGTTATTTTAGTTAAATTTTATGTTGTTTTGTTTTAAATTACTTTAAAAGTAGTTATTGCTAATTTCTCTTATGACTTTTGTAGGTAATTGATGAAAAATGCTCATTTGATGAAAATCAGTGCAAGTATGGTGATGGCTTTATTCATATATATTTTGGTATTTTGATCATATTTCTCCATACAAAACTCTAAATGAGGTAATTCTTAGACCACTAGAATTATAAGAAGAAGGCTACAATGTTTATGTTTACCAATTCACCTAGTTCTGACTGGATCATGGTCAAAATATTTGTCAAAACCCAAGCACTGTAGCAGTATGCATAGATTGAATATGATGCGGTATTTGGAGTATATCTTTCAATCTAGGAGTTCAATTGATGTGATTTTTAATCCATTGGAAAGCTAAGAATAGGGCTAAAATTTTTATGGTTACAACTTTTCCTAGTTCAGAACATTTCAGGGTGAAACTCACATTTGAATTTAATATATTGCCATAGCTCTGGGAGAACAAGGCTACAGCGTTGATGAAAGGAAGCACACACACAAATTTCTAAAGAGCTCAACGTTGCAGCACCAGGTAATTTTTCAAAAATAAAAAAAAGTTGACAAGATTTTAAAAATTAGGTTATTTGGAGCCTATTTATGGGACCTTTTTCAGAGATTGTAGGGAAGAGGTAGCAAACAACTATTCTAGAGATTTGAAGCTAAGAACAAAGCAAGAAAACAAGAGAATTGGAGGGAAAATCAAGATCACAAAGCTCTAACTATTAGTTTTCTCTCTTACTTTTGTGTTTTTCTTATTTTTTTTGACTTGGATTCATGGCTAAATTTCTTTGGATATTGTCTTTATTAGATACTATAAGCTAATTAATTTTTCAAGTATTGCAATTGAACTCACATGTAATCTAAATTTTTAATCTCTTTCTTGCTTATCTTTAATGGGATTTGAATTGTTTATTTCAATTTGTTCTTAATGCTTTTAATTGCTTGGCGACCAATTAAATTGATTTAGGAACCTAAACAAACTTGAGAAAGGAAATTTAGTACAGACTAAAATCGAGATAGCATATGATCATATTGCTTGATTTGCATATAGGATGGGGATATACCTATAGGCCATATGTAGCCAAATTAA